AAAAAAAAAAAGAACCTCCTTTGAACCACAGTCAAAGGAATGTGGAACATAGAACCTCAGTGAGTGTTACATAAACGCTCTGGATAACATACCTTTTTATCATTCACAACAATTCTGTGTTCTGATGGCAGCTGAATTAGGAGGTGCTCTAAAAAGAAGCAACTAGAAGGAATCCCTGGGACTAATTCTATCAGGGCACACTGGCAGCATAGTCAAACATCAAACCTGTGACTTGCTCAGAGGCTGTAACAATCTTTCTAGTTTCTGGAGGGTCAGAAAAGAGCAGCTCACTCCTATAGCTGTTTCCACTGATCTCAAATTCAACAAGGGCTCACTGAGAACTGGTTATGATCAGGGACCCTTCCTTACTGCTCTTGGATACAGACCACTGAGTTCTGATTTTGATGTTTTTGGCCCTCTTAAAAGACTAGTGGTGGTTCATGTATAGTAACACATTTGACACTCCTTAAGCTCTTTTCAAGAATCACCACTCAAGGATAAAATACTAACTTAGGGAGCCGGAGTGATGGCTCAGCAGTTTAAGACTGCTTGCTGCTCTTCCAGAGGACCCAAATTTGGTTCCCAGTACCCACAATCGGTGACTCACAACACCTTCTGGTCTCTGTGGGCACTAATACACACACGGTGCACAAGCACACACATACACACAAAGATACATAATTTTTTTTTTTTTTAATCTTTTTGAAACAGAGTCTCCCTGTAGCCCCAACTGGCCTGGAACTCACTATGTAGACCAGGCTGGCCTTGAACTCACAGAGATCCACCTGCCTCTGCCTCCAGAGTGCTGGGAATAAAGGCATGCACCACCACACCCAGCTATAAATTTTTAAATTCTTTAAAGAATGTTAATTTAGCACTGCACCTTGACTCCCCCAGCCTCATTCACTCTCCCAGCTCCCCCACCCCATCTCTCCTCCTAGCAGGGGCATTGGCATATTTCTTGTCTTGGTACCCCAGACTGCTGGACTGACCTCTCGGCCCAGACTCCCCACTGCTTCCTGATCCTTTGCATCCAGACCAACACAATCCCTCCCTCTAGTCCCTGGGAGCCCTCGGAGCCTCCTTCCATCCCCACCTCCCATTGCATCTCTGGGTGGTCCAGCCTGCCAGCTTCCTGGGGCCAGCAGCTTTCCTGGTCCCCTGGGAACCTCTTCCAGGGCACTCTGACTCCCCACTGCTTCCTGATTCTTTGCATCCAGACAAACCCAATCCCTCCCTCTAGTTCCCCGGAGCCCTCGGAGCCTCTTCCCATCCTCACCTTCCTTTGCATCTCTGGGCAGCCCAGCCCCCAGCTTTGTGGGGCCAACATCTTTCCTGGAGGGATCCAGTTCTTAGGAGAAAGCCTGAGAGCATCTGATCCTCATCTGACTTGGGCTTCTGTGGGAATTCCTGAGCTGGAAGATGAAGTCAATTTGCCTCCCCAATATAAAATCAAGAGAGAGAACCTGAAGCCTAGACCAATCAGCTTTTCATGCCCAACAAGTAAACCACAAAGGCACACACAGTTTACAAAAAGAAGCAGACCTAAACTCAACAAAGGAAGGCTTGAGTCTCACACAAGAATCAGAAACTACAAAAGAAATCCACATGTCAAAGTCACAGCGAAAAAATAACATGAAAAACCCAAATAATATATCCCTACGAAGTACCAACGGTCCTGTAGAGGAGTACAAGAACACCCTAGAGATAACACAGGACGGATGTGGAATTCAAAAGGTTTAAAAAAGCCAGAGGGAACCATATTAGTCCAACAACCTGCTGACAAATTATACATACAACTAGCTCAAGGAACATAATATGTCTAGTCAAGGTTTATCTGAGAACCTTTGGTCTTTGCCTAAGCTATATCTACATAGCACTTGGTAATTAAAAGTACCAGACTGGTGGAACTAAACTTCTTGGATGTTTAACAGCCATACTTTGAGGCCTATACTAATTTGGTCAGAGTGACTTAAAGGACAGTTTTTGCTCCTTGCCCTCCAAGGTCGACTAAGTTCCAGGGGGCTATGGCACGTCTCTCAAAATGTCCTGTAACTGTGGTGAGTCACCTGTCCTCTTGATCAAGGCAGCCATGAAGGCCCCACCAGATGGACTTCAACCAGTGTCCAGCCTACAAAGAGGAAACAGTTCCTCCATGCAGAGGAGGCAGAGGCAGGCGGATCTCTTATGAATTCAAGGCTAGCCTGGTCTATGTGGTGAGTTTCAAGGCAGCTGAGGTTAGAGGGAGACCCTGTGACAATTCTCAGTATGGGTTCACATATTTGAGGCAGGTGAACCCTTTCTGGTATCAAACCCAAACAGCTATTACTGATCAGTGGTTAGCTGAATGTGGATTTTGTGTCAAAGGCAGTAGGATTATTAATAAAGACAAATGCCTTCTAAGTGCCCACACCTAAAAGAAAATCCTTTGAAATAACACCTTTATCCCCTTTATCTCTTCTGGTTTTCATCACTAAAATCTTAGCTCTTCCTAAGAAATTCTTTCAGTTTTATTTTTCCCAGTCCATAACTAATCAGTCTTGCTTCACTTTTGAAGCAGCTTCTGAGTAACGTCCTGGTTCCTTCCCCTTGTTTATTCCATTTGATGTATTGAAACTAGAATAACATCAGTATTTTTTTGCAGATTTTTTTGTTGTTGTTGTTTAAAATTCTCCATTTATCTCCTCCTTCCTCAGCTTCTCAAAGGCCGAGATTACAGGGGTGCAACACCACAGTTTTCAAGGCTTTTAGAAGTGTTTTCCTTGGTGCATCCCTGAACAAAATCTGGACTTTAAACTAGACTAAACTAATATATGTAAAGTACTTAGACTCCTATCTGGCCCATGGCTTAGAACTGTGTGCCTTAGCTATTATTATTACTTTTATTTGAATACCCTGTGTACATGTCTCCAAAACACTGCCATTTCCGTTTTCCTTTTTGAACACTTCAACCTCCAAAAGGGAGGAGTGTTTTAAACTCCAATAACTAGTACAAGGCAATTGTTATTGCTATGAAAGCATCTTAAATATCCTATAATTACAGAACCCGTGGCCAGGCTTGGCACACGCCTTTAATCCCAGCACTCGGAAGGCAGAGGCAGGAGGATCTCTGTGAGTTCAAGGCCAGCCTGGTCCACATAGTGAGCTCCAGGACAGCTGGGGCTACAGGGAGACCCTGTCTCAAAAAGACCCAAAAGAAAAAGAACCCGTAAACATAAACCCTAATTTACTATAAAATCAAACTCCAGACTCAATGAGGTAGAAAAGAAAGGTAGCATTTCCCTCACTCTAGATAGAACCAGCTCAATGGTGTTACAGTACTAGCATGCTCAAGGCCCTGGATCCACCACAGGGGGGAAAAAAAAAACCTCAACAAATTTACAGTATGTGTTACAGGAAAACAAACCCTGAAAAAATATAAACAGGTTCCGGATTTAGAGCAGTTGCTTTTCAACTTTGCCATGTATTAGAATAACTCTGGAACATTCAAGAATGTTGTTGTCTGGACTCAATGCAGATTTTCTGAATCTAAGGTTAGGACTCAGGCACCTGAATTTCTTAAGCTTCAGAGGTGATTCATGTGCACAATCAAAAGTTCCACAGGCAATACATAAACCTACACCTAAAAATCACTGTTCAAGAGAAACTTTGGCTTAATGAGGTTGTACATTTGTTGCATGTTTTTCTCAATGGTTTCCTGAAGCATGTTTTTGAAAACTGAATGATGAGCTTATAAGTAACATTCTAAAACCAACCCATCTGCCAACTGCCTCCTGAGTTTGAATTGGGGCTCGGAAAAATACATACATCGAAGTCATCTAAACATTTGTCTTTTTGGCCAGGTGTGGTGTGGCAAGCCTGTAGTCTGAGCACTTGGGAGGCAGAGGCAGGTAGATCTCTGTGAGTTCAAGGCCAGCCTGGTTTTCAAAGATTTCCAGGACAACTGGGGTTACAAGGGGCCCCTTTTTCAAAAAAAAAAAAAAAAAAAAAAAAACCAAAAACCCAAAACCAAAAAACCATTTGTCTTTTTGGTCTGAATTCTATTTATAAATTTCAAAAGTTGCTTATGTAAATATATATTTAACTACGTACAATATTTACAATTTACAGAGTTTACAACCGAGAAATGACACAAGCCTGTAAATGTGAAAAAGTTGGCAATTTGTGGTTATAACTTTGAAAATTTCAAAAAGTTTTGTCTCATTTTACAGTGAATAACACCAATAGCACCTTTCCGAAGTGCTATTGCTCACTGGCTTATTTTATCGCAACTACGGGTACCCAGCTTTCAGGGACAGAGCAACCCATGTTCCGGGAGACACCACTTTTTTACACGACAGAGTGGATCTTCGAAATCTTACAACAAAGCCCCTTTCACCCGCCAATCCTGTGACAACAAATCCTGTAATTCTCCCTCATCGTCGCTGTCAACATTCTCCTCTTCCTTTTTCTGCAGTTCTTTGATGGTCAGAACCTCTTTGAGTTTGTTTTTTATCTCATCCTGGCGATTCCGTAGCTTTTCCACGCGCCGGTAACACTCTATTTGCTCATCAATCTCCCCAATCTGCCGGTCCAACCGACCCTCCTCATCTTCCTCGGCAACTATAGCTTCGGAAATGGTGTTGACCTGCCTCATGGCCTTCTGAAACTCGTCCCACTCTTTGTCCATCTGATCCTTTGGGGCATCAACCTTGCGGACCTTGGCGTCTACTTCAGGGTCGTCGAAAAACCCTTCTGGTAATGCTTCGGCGGTATTTTCTCTCCTTTCCACCACTTTCTCCTGTATTTCCGCTTTCTCAATGGACCCTGAATGAGGAACTAGAGGGGCTTTGGGAGGGTTTGTATTAAAGGGATCGCTCCGCAGCACAGTACTCGTTGCCTCCCTCGAAGAGGAAAGCGAGTGTTCCTTGCCCTGAGCGTCGGGAGGCTGCTTGCTGTTGTCCCTTCTTCCTTCCGCGCCTCCCTCCTCTTCCTCTTCCTCCTCATCTTCATAGTCAGGGAGTAAACCGAGTCCCGCAGGTCTGCTGGCGCTCGCCCTCGCGGTCTCCTTTCCCGTCTTAGCCGAGCTGGCGGCCGCGCAGGGCTGTACCTGAGGCCCCGCGGAGGCCTTGGCTCTCTTGGCGTCTGGGGTTTCCGCGTCCGGCGCTCCCCTCTTGGCCGGCTGAGGCGCGGCGCCGGCCGACGGACCCTGGGCGCCCTTGGCGCCTTTCAGGTCCGCCACTTTCTCGCGATGCTGCTTTCCCAGAACATGGGTCTGCCACAGGAGCTCGTTCTTGACCTGGACGTTACAAAGCGCACAGCTAAGCTGTCCCAAGCGGTTGTACTTCGCGAACGGGGACTCGATCCTCTTCCGGTTGGTGCTCAGGCGCTGCTTCTCCTTCATCAAGCGCCTCAGCTCTTCTTGATTCACCACCCGCTTCCCCGCCGGAGTCCGAGCGGAGGCAGAGGATGCCATCTTTTGCGACCAGACGTCAGGAGATTCTGGCTTCCGGCCTGGCGAGGCGTGATAGCGTCACTTCCGGTCACAGTGCCGATTGGCCGAAGCTCGGGCGTGACGCCAGGGTTCCAGCCTCCAAACCTTCTGAGCCTTTGGCCTTGACATTTAAGCTGTGGCAGCTGTCAAACTCGCAAACCCCGGGGCTGAGGTGACGCGGAGCCAGGCGGCCTTGGCGGTGAACATAAGCGCGGCCCGCGGCCTGCAGGATGTGCTGCGGACCAGCCTGGGTCCCAAGGGCGCGCTGAAAATGTGAGATATGGGATGTGGCGGCGCCCTGGGAAGCTGTCCTGTGGACGCGGGGGCGCTTGGACGCCTGCTGTCCCTCGCTCAGATTCCTGCCTTCAGGGAATCTCTAGCCTGGTGGGGGAGGAGGAGAAAACCTCCCCGAGGGAAAGACCCCCATGAGTAGAAGCTGTGACATCTTCCCTTTTTTGTTAGAGTTCATAAACCGCCGACTCATTTCGTGGTTCATTGGGAACGTGAACGCTTGAACGCCTCTGTCCCTGCCCCACATTCTTTTCCTGTGTTGGGGATGAACATAGCCTTTTGCACGCGCTAGGCAGACGTTGGGATGCAGGCCTACCAATAGTCTTGTTTTGGCATGCCTGTGTCTGGCAGTAGAGAGGGTAGGGTACCGAAGTTGGAGCCAGGTGGGAATGGCTTCAAAACTAAGTTTTGTCATCTTTCAGCTAATTACTTAGGCAAGTTATTGGAACTCTCTATATGTACGGTTTTTTCAAATTAATTGACATAATTTTGAAACAGGATCTAACTAGGTAGCCCCAGCTGGCTTGGAGCCGGCTATGTAGACCATCCCAAACTGGCCTCGAGGTCCGCCAGCCGCTACTGGGATTAAAGGCGTGCACCACCACGCCCAGCTCTTCACCCCTTTTGGACATTTCTTTAACACCATTGTTCACACAGGAAGAAAAGAGACTGATGGGAGCAAAAGGTCTTTTAAGAGAAGAGACAAACCTGTCTTGGTGCCACACGCCTTTAGTCCCAGCACTCGGGAGGCAGAGGCAGGCGGGTCTCTGTGAGTTCAAGGCCAGCCTGGTCTACATAGTGAGTTCCAGGATAGCTGGGGCTGCAGGGAGACCCTGTCTCAAAAAAGACACCTGAAAGAAATGAGCTAGCTAATAGGAAGAGGCCACTTAACATTAGATGCTGGGAAGAGATGAGTTTCTATTAAGGCAACATAGTAGAGGCAGGTGTATCCGTTCTATATAGGTACAGTACGATTATATTGAGGGAAGGAACCAATTTCTGATGGCAGAAAGGAAAGCCTCTCAACAGGTGATGTTCTGAGTCGAATGAGTTCAGCAACTGGAGAAGGGAGTAAAGGTGTAGAATAATTTCAGTAGTAAGAAAGCCCAGTGATGTGCTGGAGAGATGGCTCAGCAGTTAAGAACACTGGGTTTTCTTGCAGAAGACCAGGGTTCGAATCCCAGCACCCACATGGCAGGTAACAGGCTGTAACTCCAGTCCTAGGGCATCCAACACCCCCTTCTGACCTCCGCGGGCATTGCATGACACGGGTGCACTTACCTACATGCAGGCAGTACACACATATAAAATAATAAAAATAATGGTGCATTAATGAACTAAAAGACTTGCTTGTGGGAAGGTGGTAGATGAAGCAGGATAAATTGGGAAAGTCAAGTATGTTGTTGTTAAATTACTTTGGCTTTTACCTTGAAGGTGATAGAAAATATAAATATTATTGAAAGATTGTTGGTCAGGAAACTGAGTCATGTTGTCTTTATTATTGTTATTTTGAGACAGAGTCTTACTGTGTAGCCCTGGCACTCACAGAGATCTGCCTGCCTCTGCCACCCAAGTGTTGGGATTAGAGTTTAGGTGTACCACCATACCTGGCCATGTTGTCTTTTTTAAAATATTATTTTTATTTTATGTGTATGAGTGTATTGTCTGCATGTATGTAGGTGCACCCGTGTCATGCAACGCCTGAGGAGGTAGAAGAGGGCATCAGATTCCCCTGGAACTGGAGTTATGGACGGTTGTTAGCTGCCATGTGGGTGCTGGGAATCGAACCTGGGTCCCTTGCTCAGATTTCTGCCTTCAGGGACTCTCCAGACTGGTTGGGGAGGAGGAGAAAAGCCTCCTTGAGGGAAACACCCCATGAGTAGAAGCTGTGACATCTTCCCTTTTTTGTTCTCTGCAAGAACTGCCAGTGCTCCTAACCGCCGAGCCATCTCCCCAGCCCCCCATGTTTTCTTTTATAAAGATAAATACAGCTACAGCATGGTGCCTCAGTTCAAATTGAGATATAAACAAAATGCTGTCTAGGAGTCTAGAGGTGATGATAATGGAATAGAAGAGAAGGGATCATGACTCAGTCAAGTTGTGGAACTGACGAAGCTTGGTGATCTGATAAATGTGAGAAATGAGGATAACTACATTCAACAATTGAATTATAACATTTACCAAAATAAAAAACTTGTAGGAAATTTGCAAATTTGTGCTTTGAGTTATACTTTAACTGTTTATAGCTCATCAAGAGCTCTTTAGACCCATAAATGTTCTATTTGGAATGAAATCACAATAAGTACATCTAGAAAAATAATTCTATGAGCTGCCAGTGGTGGTAATTGCCATGGTATTGCCCCATGATACAACATAGAGTTTCCAAGCCTAATTCTCTGAATTTAGAACAGGAGATGGTAAGAACTGGAAATATCTTACTTGATTCTTACCTTGTGAAGTTAAAAAGTACTATTGTTCTCCAAACAGGCTTGTTTCTGGTACAGGTGACATCAAACTCACCAAAGATGGCAATATACTTCTTCATGAGATGGTGAGCTGATAACTGCTTTTTTCTTTTCTTGAGACAGGATCTCACTGTGTAACCCAAGCTGGGCTCAAACTCATGCCTCAGCCTCATGAGTGTTGAATTCAAGAATTTGCTACTATACCCAGCTGACAGCTCACACTAATAATAAACTATAATAAGCTTTAATTAAGAACATGGTACAGGGGCCAGGAATGCATCTCAGTTGTAGAACACTTGCCTAGCATGTGTAAGACCCTAGGTTCAGCACTGGAAAAAAAAGGTACAATTTGTATATCATATGCAAATTTAAAAGAATTATTATAGTGCTAGGGATTGACCCTGGGCCCTACATGTGCTAGCCAAGTGCTTTACCACTGAGATATACCCTTAGCCTTATAATTAAGTGCACCACATGCATGCAGTGCCCACGAAGGCCAAAAGAGGGCATTGGGTCCTCTGGAACTGGAATTAGGGACTGTTATTAAGCTGCCAAGTGGGTGCTGGGGACTAAAACTGGGGCCTGTATAAGAGCAGCCAGTGCTTTTAACCACTGAGCCATCTCTCTGGCCTTTGGAGACAACTTTTATTTTACCGACTTTTATGGGGCTAGAGAGATGGCTCAGCAGTTAAGAACACTGGCTTCTCTTGCAGAGGACTGTGGTTTGATTCCCAGCACTCACGTGGTGGCTAACAACCATTTGTAACTTCAGTTCCAGATCAGTTCCTGTTCTGATCAAGGGCATTGCATGACATGGGCACACTTTCACGCAGGCAATATACTCATACACATAAAATAAAATAATAAATAAAATATTTTGGGGGAGTCTTTTTTTGAGACAGGGTCTCTGTAGCCCCAGATGGCCTGGAACTCACTATGTAGACCAGGCTGGCCTTGAACTCACTATGTAGACCAGGCTGGCCTTGAACCCACAGAGATCTGCCTGCTCCTGAGTGCTGGGATTAAAGGCTTGCACCACCACATCTGGCTAAATAAAATATTTTACAGATAAAAAAATGTGCATGTCTGTATGAGTGCATGCCATGTGTGTGCAAGTGCTCATGGATTCCAGAAGAGGGTGTCAGATTCCCTGGGGTTTGAATTACAGGTGATTATGAGCCACCTGACATAGGTACTGGGAATCAAATCTGGTCTTCTGGAAGAACAGTGCACACTCTTAGCTGCTGAGCCATCTCTCCAAGTCCCACGATTTGTATTTTTAAGATAAGGCTGTCAGCTAAATTCTTCAGTGCTGAGATATACTTGTTGGGATTAAACATCAACAAAAATATTTTTGGACTGTTTTCAAGCGTAGAGCTAAATAATAGCTTAGAGGTACTTACAAATTAATAACATTTTTCCAAAGCACTTCATTATAGTCATAATCTTTGCAGTTTTCATAAATGTATTCATCTTGAGATTGAAGGGCTTAATTTTTTTGGAAATGTCATTGCATTTTGTAGCAAAGACTTCTAAAATGTTCAAACCTCATTAATTCTCAATTTTTAAATTTTGATTTGGCATTTACTAAATATTGATAGTATAAGACTTGTAAGTTGTAGAATAAAGCTTATTTTACTGTTGACCCTTAGGTTATCTTGGTTTTGGTGGCCTTTATCACATTCATTTTCCTTTTAAAATCTCTTGTTTACCATTTCCACCCAGCAAATTCAACACCCAACAGTTTCCGTAATAGCCAAAGTAGCAGCATCTCAGGATCACATCACAGGAGATGGCACTACTTCAAATGTTCTCATTATTGGAGAATTACTAAAACAGGCCAATCTTTACATTTCTGAGGTATGAAAATTTCACACTTTGTTTCAAAGGAAGTTTTTTTTTTTTTTTTTTTTTTTTTTTTTTTTTTTTAAGAGGGGGTTCTCCTTTTCCCCCCAGCTTTCTCGGAACTCACTATGTAGACCAGGCTGGCATTGAACTCACAGAGACCCGCCTGCCTCTGCCTCCCAAGTGCTGGGACTACAGGCGTGCACCACCACGCCCGGCTTCAAAGGAAGTTTTTAAAAATAAATTTTTTAATGTTTGTGAATATTTTCCTGCGTTTATGTAAATGTACCCCATGTATGCACTACCTACAGAGGCCAAAAGAGGGTGTTGGATCCCCTGGAAATGAAGTTACAAACTGTTGTTAGCCACTGAGTGGATGCTAGGAATAGAACCCAGGTCCTCTGGAAAAACAGCAAGTGCTCTTAACTGCTGAGCCATCTTTCCAGCCTGAAGTTTTTTGTTGTTGTTATTGTTATCATTTGGGAAGGACAGGATCTGATGTATCCCAAGACTGATCTTTTTTTTTTTTTCGGTCTTTTTGAGACAGGGTCTCCCTGTAGCCCCAGCTGTTCTGGAACTCACTATGTAGACCAGGCTGGCCTTGAACTCAGAGAGATCCGCCTGCCTCTGCCTCCCCAGTGCTGGGATTAAAGGTGTGTGCCACCATGCCTGGCAAGACTGATCTTTTTTAAAAAAATGTTTATTTTAATTTTATTTGTATGAGCATATTGCCTGCATATGTGTAAATGCACCCATGTTGTGTGATGCCCATGGAGGTCAGAAGAGGGAGTTGGATCCCCTGAAACTGGAGTTACAGAGGGTTGTTAGCCACCACGTGGGTGCTGGGAATTGAACCTGGGCCCTCTGCAAGAGAGGTCAGTTCTCTTAACCACTGGGCCATCTTTCCAGTCCCTGTTTTTTGTTTTTAAAGTAAAATTTAGCTTTTGTTTTGTTTTGTCTTTTTGAGACCAGGTCTCCCTGTAGCCCAGCTGGCCTAGAACTCACTATATAGACCAGGCTGGCCTTGAACTTGCAGAGATCACCTGCCTCTGCTTCTCAAGTGTCACCATGCCCAGCCTAGTAAAATTTAACTTTAGAAGCTAGGAGTTAATTTAATCAAAATAGTCATGGGCAATTATAAGCACAGACAATGACCTTTTTTGGCCAATGCCTTTTATTGTAATTATATGCCTCTTGTTAAAAAATGTTTAATATATATATAAACTGTTATATGTGTGTGTGTGTATACACACACACACACACACATATACGTATATATGGAGAGAGGGAGACAGGTAAAATTTTCAAAAACCTCTCTCGTGTACCCATGAATCATGCTTTAAAAAGAAAATGGGGGGCTGGAAAGATAGCTCAGAGGTTAAGAGCACTGACTACTGTTGCAGAGGACCAGGGTTCAGTTCCTAACACCCACATGGAGGCTAACAGCCTTCTGTAACTCTGGTTCCAGTGGATCCAATGCCCTCATTGCAGGACATGGATACACTTACATATATTCAGGCAAAACACTTATACACATAAAATAGAAATAAATGAATTAAATTTAAAAAAGAAAATGCAACTAATAAAATTTGAAATCAAATTATGTTCCTTTAAAAAAAATATCTGGAGGGGCTGGAGAGTTGGCTCAGCGATTAAGAACACTGGCTGTTCTTGCAGAGGACCCGGGTTCAAATCCCAGCACCCACATGGCAGCTAACTGTCTGTAACTCCAGTTTCAGGGGATCTGACAGCTTCTTCTGTCCTCTGTGGGCATTGCACGACACGGGTGCACTTACATACATGCAGGCAATACACACATACACATAAAATAATAATAATTAAAAAAAAACTTAAAAAAAAATACTGGAGCCAGGCGTGGTGGCATATGACTTTAATCCCAGCACTTGGGAGGCAGAGGCAGGTGGATCTCTGTGAGTTCAAGGCCAGCCTGGCCTACACAGTAAGTTCCAGGCCAGCTGGGGCTACAGGGAAACCCTGTGTCAAAAGATAAATAAATAAATAAATAAATAAATAAATAAATAAATAACTGGAGAAAGATGATGTTTTTCCACCTTGTGAATTTATTTACCTTTCTATCTTCATTTTTCTTTATAAACTATCATAGCCAGATTCCTCCACCCACTAGCCTATGAAACCATCATTCACATTTCTAGCTCTGTGCCTTTGTTCAATCTGTATTCTTTTCCTGGCACAACTTATCTCTTTTCTATAATTATTTGTAATTTCCTGTTATTCAGAGACTATTTCCACAAACATAACCTGGTCAAATTATGGAAATTATGACTTCTTTGTGTTCCACTTAGTATTGGGAATTACATATTCAGTATGTGAAACTTACCTCATTTAGAATGATTTGGGCTTAAATGGTAGAAACTTGACTAAAACTCACTTAACAATAAAGGAATTATCTCTCATAATAGAACATTGAGAGATAAGGTAGGGTCCATGGATGGTAAATTTAAAAGTTCAATCAGCCATCAAGCACCTAGGTCCTTTCTTTTGCTTAGCTCTTCTGCTCATAATACTGTTTAATCCCAAGAAGGATCTTAAATATCAGACTGCCAGAGGAAATCAGTGCTACCTGCTTCTCTTGGTAATGTTCAGTGAGAGAAGGCCAGATAAAATAATTCTTCCAGAATATGAATTCTTTCTTGGGCTTATCTTAGTCTTATGCCCACCTTAAACCAATGACAATTGTTCGGGAACTTGATTAGACTAATCCATACCCATTCCTTGAGCTAAGAATAGGGTTAGTTTTCCCTGAAACACAGGTGGAAGATAGACACACAAAATTAGGGTTAGGTTAGGAAGAAAGGGGATTGGTAATGGTGAGATGTTGACAGATCATAATTATGTATAGCTGGACAGTGGTAAAGCTAGGCACAGGATATGATAGGAAAGAGATATCTAAATTAGCCTGCAGTGGTCAGGAAACATTCAGGCAAGGCTTGCACTAAGTCTTGGATGGAATGTGAGGAGCATGGTGTTCCAGCAGAAGGACCAACCTGGTAGTGCCCAGCAGGCAGTTGGTATTAGTGGAGTTGAAGTGATGGTGTATAGTAGTGATGAGGTTGTAGAAGGAGGTGAGAACCAGATCACAGAGGGAGTGTAATGTGCTAGTCAAGAAGCTTATGCTTTACCTCTGTGCTAAACAGACTAAGCATATCAACATAGTAATGACTGATATGCTCAGATTGACAGTTTAAATACTTGGAGACAATTTAAAGGATTTATGATCAGAGATTCTCTTCGTATTCCAGATTAGTGATTATGAGGTTCTAGATTAAGGACAGTTTTGAAAGTGGTAATAGTCCAGGCTGGAGTCAAGTCTTGTGGCTTTTAACCTGCTTCTATTTCTGATCTAGCTTGCTGATGTAAGACAAATTACATAACCCTTTTAAATTATGGCCTCTCCTGTGAAGTAATAGTACCTACTTTATAGTATTGTTGAGAGGATTAAATTAAATAATTCATACAGAGCCCTTAGAATCATGCCCAGCACAAATGTCCAATGTCAACTTTTAAGTATTATAGAAGTAATATAAAGAAAGGAAGGTGGTGAATTATGCTTTTTGCCAGTTCTCACAAAGTTTGTGTATTATTTCAGGGAATAAACTGCTGGGGGCCAGAGAGATAGCTTACTGGGTAAAGGCTTGCTGTGCAAGTCTGAGAATCTGAGTTTGAATCCCCAGAACCCATGTAAAGCTGGATGTGATAGCTTGTGTCTGTGATCCCAGTGCCCCTACAGAGAAATGGGAAGCAGTGATAGAGTCCCCTGAAGCTCAAGGGCTGCTAACTCAGTGCTGATGACAACAAAAGAGAGACTGTGTCTTAAGGTGGAACGAAAAGGCCAATACCCAAAGTTCTGAAGTTGTCCTCAGTCTTCACATACATGCTGGAGCATGTGCACATCCATACTTAATGAACCCATGAACATGCACACACATACATAATACACAAACACATACATAATACACAAAAACATAAACACACACTAAAAAAAATAAACAATACTACTGTTTCTTTTAATACTGGGATCAGACCCCAGGACCTTGCACATCTTAGGCAATTGCTCCACCCCTGAGCTATACCATCAATCCCAACAACATTATTTAAAATATTTTTATTTTAGCCAGGCATGGTGGTGCACGCCTTTAATCCCAGCACTCGGGAGGCAGAGGCAGGCAGATCGTTATGAGATGAATGCCAGCCAGGTATACATAATGAGTTCCAGGCCAGCTGGGGTACAGGGAAACCCTGTCTCAAAAAGCAAAAAAACAAAGCCGGGCATGGTGGTGCACGCCTTTAATCCCAGCACTCGGGAGGCAGAGGCAGGCAGATGTCTGTGAGTTCAAGGCCAACCTGGTCTACCAGTGAGTTCCAGGACAGCTGGTGCTACAAGGAGACCCTGTCTTGAAAAAAAAAAAATGTATTAAATTTACATTAAG